GGCCACGGGGCCGCTGAGGCCACGGGGCCACCAAGCCTCTGCCACGCTCATGCTGGCCACGGGGACGCTGAGGCCACGGGGCCACCAAGCCTCTGCCACGCTCGTGCCGGCCACGGGGACGCTGGTGGGCAGCCCGCCACTGCCTCCCCACCACGCAGGGCCAACGAGGGAGGAGGCAGAGTCCCCTTCCCAATTAATTAGAGCCACTTCAGCGCAGAGACGAGCAGGCACTTACCCAGCGTCCTGTAATCCCCACGGGCCTTGTTAGCGCGCACGAAAGCCTGGATTTTAATTACAGCTTTAATCTGCCAAGACAAACAAGGGGGTGGGGGGGATGTTTTCCCCCACAGCATCCCCAAAACACGTGGGGGGAGCGGAGGAGAGCCGGACGGGCACCCAGCTGCCTGCTCCTACCACCAGGAACCCACCAATGCCCGGGATGAGGGTCGTCACCACCCCGGAGGGAATTTGGGATTGCAGGATTTCCCCCCTCCACTTGCTGCGTTTCTCACGGCACAGCCACGCCACAGGGGCAGCACCGCTTCCCGCAGCCAATGCACCCCTGTCCCCCCAAATTTCCTCCCCCTCTAATGGCCATCTTCAAGTCCGTGTTGGTTTTTTGATGGAACCAGAGTGGTTCTTCTCTCCTCGCACTTTGCGGAGCCTGATAATTTGGCTGCCAGACCCACCGGGCACCTCTTCCACCCGGCTGTGCCGCAAGCACTCACGGAATCACAGAATCGTTTGGGTTGGGAAAGCCCTTTGAGGACCCCCCCACCACCACCAAGCCCTTTGAGGACCCTCACCACCACCAAGCCCCTTGAGGACCCCCCCCAGACTCCTCCCAGAAGTCGTGCTGGCTCTGCTCCAGCAAGTGGACAAAGCGCCGGACGATGCTCAGTGGCGGGCTCCTGGCGTGGACTGCAGCAAGGCACGGTGCCACCATGAACGCTCGCAGGGAAGACCGAGCAGCCACCCCCCCACCACGGACCCTTGGACCATCTCGCCAAGAAGACGCCCCATCCTCCTCTCGCCGAAAAAAAAAAAAGCATCCTCTTGCTTGCCAGATGAGATGGCGTCATGCCGTGCCACACCTCCCCGGGAAGCTTTTGGGAGCCGAGGAGTAGCAAGGGCAACCCCAGGGCTGCTCCAGCTGAGGCCAAGGGGCCACCAAGCCT